CCACTTGAGCCACAGCGCCACTTCTGGTTTTCTAGTGGTTTTATTGGAGATAAGAGTCTCAGAGTCTCACGGACTTTCCTGCCCAGGCTGGCTTTGAACTGTGATCCTCAGATCTCAGCCTCCTGAGTAGCTAGGATTACAGGCATGAGCCACTGGCACCCAGCTAAGAAAGACTTCTGAGAAAGGAAGAAGCCTTCCCTAATAAGCTAAACTCTGGCTGACTTAAGCAAACAGGCAGGAAAGCCTGCAGACAGTACAGCCTGTGTCAAGTCCTAAGGTGAGAAAGAACTTGACTAAGTGACCAGCATACTTGAAGCTGATCCCTTCTGCTGAGAAGATTCTCATTCTACTTTGTCTCCTGAAATCATCCTGGTCTTGTTACCAGTCAAAACCAGTTTCTTCTTCATTTGATATAGATTACTTCTAATGTTTTTTTTTTTTTGGGCCTGGGCGCTGTCCCTCAGCTCTTCAGCTCAAGGCTAGCGCTCTACCACTTGAGCTACAGCGCCACTTCCGGCTTTTTTTCTTTTTACTTGTGTGGTGCTGAGGAATCGAACCCAGGGCCTCATGCATGCAAGGCAAGTGCTCTACCACTGAGCCAACTTCCCAGCCCTACTTCTAATTTTTAAACACTTCCTCCCTCCTTTTTTATCCTCTACACAGGTGAGCTATTTCTGCATGGACAATCTTTGGATTTCCGGCTCACTCACTCTGTAGCAAACCGTAGACTTGTGTACACTTTTAGCATAGTAGATGCTGGACAGCCAACTGTGTGCCTGTATATTCAGTTACTCAGCCTCAGCACCTTTGACATTTAAGGCTGGATAATTCTTGTGCATGGTAGAATGTTTAGCAGCATGTCTGACCTCTATCCACTCCATATCTAAGCACATCTTTACCTGATCATGACAATCAGACATGTGTTTGACACATTGTCAAGTATCCGTGGCAGGAATTATTTCCTGTTGAGAACTACCACTTGAGACTAGACTGAAAGGTAACTTGAAGATGTGTTCACTTGGGAGCCAGGGGTTTGGTGGGTTTGGTGAGGCAGGTTCTGACCCTTCCACCTCCTGGTTTGTTCTAACAGACTGCCACTCTCCGCCCCTACCTGAGTGCCGTGCGGGCCACACTGCAGGCTGCCCTCTGCCTGGAGAATTTCTCCTCTCAGGTTGTGGAAAGACACAACAAGCCGGAAGTGGAAGTCAGGTAGGAAAGTAAAATTCAGCGTGGGGGATAAGGGGTGCTGCACACTGGGATGACTTGTTTAGAGGGTGCTATGAGCTTAGAATTGTCAGCACAACTTCAGTTGACATTTTTTCTGGCCTCCAGATGGTTTTCAATTTGAAGTAAAGGAAGTAGAGCTATGGGTTGGTAGGGCATGGTCCATGGGAGGAGTTCCTTCAGCAAGATTGTGTGATAAAAGGTGTATTAAGGGAAGTGGCACTGTAGCTCAAGCGGTAGAGCACTTGCCTTGAGCTGAAGAGCACAGGGATAGCACCCAAGCCCAGAGTTCAAGCCCCACAACCAAAAAGAAAAAAAAGAAAAAAGGTGTATTAAGCTGTTCCTAAAGTATCTGCTATGGACTCAAAAGCCACTGGCCAATTAAAAAGGGAATTCAGCTGGGTGCTGGTGGCTCATGCCTAGCTAGTCAGGAGGCTGAAATCTGAGGACCACAGATGGAAGCCAACCCAGGCAGAAAAGCCAGTGAGACTCTTACCTTGAAGTAACTAACAAAAAAAGCTTGAAGTGGAGGTGTGGTAGAGAGCAACCGCCTTAAGCAGAAAATTTCAGGGACAGCACCCAGGCCCTGAGTTCAAGCCCCACAACTGACAAAAAAAAAAAAGCAATCTTACAGACTTTCCTGCCTGGGCTGGCTTTGAACTGTGAACCTCAGATTTCTGTCTTCTCAGTAGCTATGATTACAGGCATGAGCCATAAGCACCGGCTGTGCATTTTAATGTCTCTCAATGCTCACATGTGGAAAGGTTTCCCTTCATAGAAAAGGGGATGAGATTCTAAAAGGGTTACATGCCACGGAATGCGACAGATGTGGACAGATTTCAAAACCTTGTCACCCTTACTCTACAGTGTATGCTTTTTTTGCTGAAGAAAACACTTCCTAGCCTCCATATTGGAGGACCTATGCTGGGAACCTTCTGTTTCTTAGACTCTTCAGTCTCAGATAGAGATTCCAGGGCATATTGTGGGTTGCTGTGACTGGTATATTGGTATTTCAGAGACCTCTTTGTTTTATGATTCCAGGAGTAGCAAAGAGCTCCTATTACAGCCTGTTACCATCAGCAGGAATGAGAAGGAAAAGGTTCTCATTGAGGGCTCAATCAATTCTGTTCGGGTCAGCATCGCGGTGAAACAGGTGAGTTGTCTTGAAGAAGGCCTGGAGCTCAGAGCTTGCTCCAAACCAGGGAGGACAGACGTGCCATGGAGCCAGTTTAATATATATAAAGATTTTACGTGCGTGTGTGTGTGCGCGCGTGTATTTTAATTTACTCGGGGAAAAAAAATCTGCATTGGAACTTGAACCCAGGGACTTGCTCTCTTGCTTGGCTTCTTTGCTCACATTTGGTGCTGTACCACTTAACCATGCCTTCAATACAGCTTTTTTGCTTGTAATTGGAGATAAAGTATCTTGTGGACACTGCCCCAACTGGTTTCAAACTGAGATCCCCAGAACTCAGCCCCTTGATTAGCTTAGATTATAGGCAGGAGCCACAAGTACCCTGGTAGTTTATTTGTTTTTATTTTTTGCCAGTCCTGGGGTTTGAGCTCAGGGCCTGGGCACTGTCCCTGAGCTGCTTTTGCTAAAGGCTAACATTCTACTGCTTGAGCTACAGCACCACTTCTGGCTTTTTCTGTTTATGTGATACTGAGGAATAAAATCCATGACTTCGCCAGGCACCGGTGGCTCACGCCTGTAATCCTAGCTACTCAGGAGGCTGAGATCTAAGGATTGCTGTTCAAAGCCAGTCTGGGCAGGAAAGTCCGTGAGACTCTTATCTCCAAAAAAAAACCCACTAGAAAACCAAAAGTGGCGCTGTGGCTCAAGTGGTAGAGTACTCGCCTTGAGCGCAGGGACAGGGCCCAGGCCTGAGTTCAAACCCCACGACTGACGTCCCCCCCAAAAAAAAAAAAATCCAGGGCTTCATGCTTGTTAGGAAAGCACTCTATTGCTAAACCACATTCCCAGCCCTTATTTAGTTCCTTTTACTTAAACTTGAAAAGAAATGCTTAAACCATAAGTGGATAAACAGTTGTCACTTGCCACAATAGTAGAGGATGCCTAAAGTAAACACAAGAACAGAACAGTGTTACCAAATTCAGACTAGATACTGTTTACCAGAGAGTTTCAATCCTGAGGCCTAAGAGGGGAGTTTTTGTTTTTTCGGGGTTTTTTTGAATTGTTATTATAAAGGTGATCATGTACAAAGGAGTTACAGTTACATAAGTCAGTACTTTTTTTGTTGTTGTTGTTGGTCATGGGGCTTGAACTCTGGGCTTGGGCGCTGTCCCTCAGCTCTTCAGCTCAAGGCGAGCGCTCTACCACTTGAGCTACAGCGCCACTTCCGGTTTTCTGGTGGTTTATTGGAGATAGGAGTCTCACGGTCTTTCCTGCCCGGGCTGGCTTTGAACCGCGATTCTCGGATCTCAGCCTCCTGAGTAGCTAGGATTTCAAACGTGAGCCCCCGGGGCCCCGGTTTTTTTTTTTTTTTTTTTTTTTTAGTATCACCCTTTTCTGCCTTTATGCGGGACACCTGGAGGTATGGAGGACATCAAGTTCCTTGCTGCATAATTGTTTTAGAAATATTGAGAGTTTAGGGGCTTGGAAGGTGGCTCAGTGGTAGAGTGCTTGCCTTGCATGCATGAAGCCCTGGGTTCAATTCCCCAGCACCACATAAGCAAAAAGAAAAAAAAGCTGGAAGTGGCGCTGTGGCTCAAGCGGTAGAGTGCTAGCCTTGAGCTGAAAGCTGAGGGACAGCGCCCAGGCCCAGAGTTCAGGCCCCACAACTGGATCCAAAAATTAAAAAAAAAAAAGAAATATTGAGAGTTTAAAAGAAGGGAGAGGGGCTGGAAGGTGGCTCAGTGGTAGAGTGCTTGCCTCGCATGCATAAGGCCCTGGATTTGATTCCTCAGCACCACATAAGCAGAAAAAGCCAGAAGTGGGTCTGTGGCTCAAGTGGTAGAGTGCTAGCCTTGAGCTGAAGAGCTGAGGGACAGCACTCAGGCCCAGAGTTCAGGCCCCAGGACCAAAAAAAAAAAACAAAAAACCTAAATAAAATAAATTTAAAAAAAATAAAAGAAGGGAGAATGTTCAGGGTTGTCTGATGTTCAGCGTGTGCCTACAGCCAGGTAGTGTGCTTTCTGCCCTCAGGACATAAGCATGCTAAAGGCAGCCTCAGTACAGTGTGCCAGAATAGGAATGGGTGAGGGGGACTGCAATAATGCCCATGAACTTAGGGGTGATGGAAAATACCTCTTTTCACTTAGCAGCCATTTGCAGTGTAGGCAGGGATTACTTCTACACCAGACCTGCAGCGTCCCGTGAGCCAGGAGAGGGGAAGGGGTCTGCAGCTATGGAAGTGTCAGCTTTCTTTCTTCTTTCTTCCCTCCAGGCTGATGAGATTGAGAAGATTTTATGTCATAAGTTCATGCGCTTTATGATGATGCGAGCAGAAAACTTCTTCATCCTTCGAAGGAAACCAGTAGAGGTAACACCTGTGCGCAGTTCCTTATGTTCATTCCTGGAATTCTGTCACTCAGTGGCCTGGCATATTTTTTCTTTTTTTTGTGTCATCGCTGGGACTTGTACTCAGCGCCTAGGCTCTGTCCCTTAGCTTTTCACTCAGGAGGCTAGCACTGTACCACTTGATCCATAGCTCTACTTCCTGCTTTTTGTCAGTTATTTGGGGATAAGAGTCTAGCTTCAATCTTCGATCCTCAGACCTCAGCCTCCTGAGTAGCGTGAGATCCCCCTCCCCCCTGCTCCTGGGGCTTGAAGTCAGGGTCTGAGTGTGTATATATATTGAGTGTGTGATTACATAAATTTCACAGTATTGTGGGATAGTGATACTTAAACACATTTTAACCTTAATGAGGTGTGTTGTCATTATTGTAGCCTGACCTTCTCTTTGCTCAAGGCAAGCATTATGCCACTTGAGCCACAGTGCCACTCCCAATTGTTTCCTCCCATTCCCACCACAAAATTTTTTTTTTTTTAATTTTTATTTTTGCTGATAGTGGGGCATGAACTCTGGGCCTGGGCTCTGGCCTGAGCCGCTCTATGCTCAAGGCTAGCATTCTACCACTTGAGCCACAGCACCACTTCCAGCTTTTTCTGAGTAATTTTTTTTTTTTTGTCATGGGGGCTGAACTCTGGGCCTGGGTGCTGTCCCTCAGCTCTTCAGCTCAAGGCTAACACCCTACCACTTGAGCCACAGTACCCCTCCCGCCTTTTTTCTGCCTGTATATGGTGCTGGGGAATTGAACCCAGGGACTCATGCATGCAAGGCAAGCACTCTACCACTGAGCCAAATTCCCAGCCCCTGAGTAATTTTTTGAAGCTAGGAAGCTCATGTATTTTCCTGCCCAGGCTGGATTTGAACCGTGATCCTCATATCTCAGCCTCCTGAATAGCTAGGATTATAGGTGTGAGCCACTAGCACCTGGCCCGATATATCTTATATGATGAGATGCACATAGGCATTGTGCCTTTGTGTTCCTCGCTTAAGAGTACCCTCCTTTGGTCTCACTGTGTGAGATTATTTCTTGAACCAGTATTGCTGCTGCTTCAGTCATAAAGCATCCATTGCCTGAATTGAGTTGGCTTTCATCTCAGCTGGAGTGGTGGCAAGAAAGCTTGCAAGCTTGGGAAAAGTTGAGTTTATGTATTGCACATCTTCCTAAGGTCTTACAACGAAAACAGCACAATGAATTAGGGAATCCTTCCCTTACTATTGGAGTTTTCTTGACTTTGTATTTGAATCCTTTCTGCAAATTTCTTGCCAGGTCATCTTTTTTTTTTTTTGGCCAGTCCTCCTGGGGCTTGAACTCAGGGCCTGGGCACTGCCCCTGAGCTTCTTCTTTGCTCAGGGCTAGCACTCTACCACTTGAGCCACAGCGCCACTTCTGGCTTTTTCTGTGTATGTGGTACTGAGGAAAGGAACCCAGGGTTTCATGCATGCTAGGCAAGCACTGTACCACTAAGCCGCATTCCTAGCCCTCACCTCCGTTTCTTATTTGATTGAATTCTTCTAAACAAGATTCCAGTCCTTCCATTCTCCCCTGCCTCTGTGCCACATCAGTCTCACAGAGATGCTTGCTATACAGAACCTTCAACCTGGCTCAGTTGCTTGGGTCCCACATAGGTCTCCCCGTCTCCAAAGCAAAGGGCTGCGGGCTGAAGGACACGTTACTTGGGAGAGAGTCACAGCCAGCTGGGAGCACGCGATGAGGCCTGCTGCGTGTTCTTGCGTGGTGACTCCATCCCATTTCTTCTCTTTCCCTACTCACTTTCTTCCATAGGGTTATGACATCAGTTTTCTCATCACCAACTTCCACACAGAGCAGATGTACAAACACAAGTTGGTGGACTTTGTGATCCACTTCATGGAGGAGATCGACAAGGAGATCAGTGAGATGAAGCTATCAGTCAACGCCCGTGCGCGCATCGTGGCTGAGGAGTTCCTCAAGAATGTAAGTCAGGCACTAGTGGCTCATGTCTGTAATCCTAGCTACTCAGGAGGCTGAGATCTGAGGATCATGTTTTGAAGCCAGCCTAGGCAGGAAGGTCTGTGAGATCTTAACTCTAATAAATTACTCAAAAAACCTGGAAGTGGTGCTGTGGGTCAAGTAATAGAGTGCTAGCCTTGAGCAAAAGAAGCCCAGAGATAGCTCCCAGGCCCAGAGTTCAAGCCCTAGGACTAGCAAGAAAAGGCCGGGTGTCAGTGGCTCACCCTGTAATCCTAGCTACTAAGGAAGCTAAGATCTGAGGATCATGGTTCAAAGCCAGCCCGTGCAGGAAAGTCCATGAAACTCTTTATCTCCAATAAACCACCAGAAAACTGGAAGTGGTGCTGTGGCTCAAGTGGTAGAGTGCTTGCCTTGAGCTGAAGAGCTGAGGGACAGCACCCAGGCTCAGAGTTCAAGCCCCACGACCAACTAAAAAAAAAACAAAACAAAACAAAAAAACAGAAGAGAATCTAAGTCGCCCATCCAGCTTTCCTGAGTTACAGGACAAGTTTCACATCTGCCCTGATGAGCTGTGTGCTCTTATCTCCTGAGGTCCATAGGACCACTGGGGAACAACTGGCTGGCCACCTTTAAGCCGCTGGATATTGGATGTCATTTGTCTCTTGTTAATTTGTGTGTCTTAAAATGTGGAGGCTGAGATCTGAGGGTCGTAGTTCAAAGCCAGCCTGGGTTAACGTCTATGAGACTCTTATCTTCTATTAACTACCCGAAGAAAACTGGAAGTGGAGCTGTGGTTCAAAGTGGTAGAGCACTAGCTTTGAGTAAAAAAGACTCAGGGACAGTTCCTATGCTAGTTGAAGCCCCACAACCCCTCCCCCCCAAAAAAAAGAAATGTTTATGATGTCCTTTGTGAAGTAATTTGTGAATCGTGGGACTGTAGACCAGATAATCATTATGTAATTCCACACCTATAGCAGACTTGAATTTTTTGTTTTAGTGTCTGTTTCTTAGGCTTAAGTCATGATTTTTTTTTTTTTTTACTTATTTCCTTCCCATCACTGCAAAGACTTGCAGCTTCAGTTCCCTCTTAAGTTGTTTATGTGTCTACTCAGAAGACTATAGTCCTTTTCAGGGAGGAATTGTTTATATTGAAGGACTGACGGCAGAGTTGTTCTTGTCCAGATAGTTGGGACATGACTTTCTTTTTTTCCTTCTTCCAAAACAACCTTTGGTTTGTTGAAACATTCCACTCAGAGTTGACTGCGCTCCCTGGGTGGTAGGTTTGGTGTTTACTGCTACCAATATACATGCAGCCCAGGAGGAGCCCAGATTCCTAAATACAGAATCCACCCACTTCCCTGGGGCCTCATTATACTGTGCTAGCGTGCAGAAAGCTATGCTGTGTGCCTGGCAGGTTCACCAAAAGGAGGATGGTATGTTAATAATTCTCTCAGAGAAGCTGAGTAGTACATGTGATTTTCCTATGAAAGCATAGTGCCTGGTACTTAGTAAGCCTTCTATGATTGGTGGACGGCCAGGGTGCTAGGAAGCCTTGGTAACCCTGTAATGGAAGGGTGGTATAATTCAGCATTTTTGACTGCTGCGTGGAGCAGGTAGTCTTGGGTTGCATTTAGTCCTTAACCATTGGTTCCCAGCTTCTGTTGTAGCGTCTAGACTGTTCTAGGCACCACAGGGAGATGAAGGCAGAAAAAATTTCTAAGACTTTTTGGCGTAACCCCCAGATCCTGATTCCTCTCCTCTTGGCCAGTTCATTCCTCAGGCCCCTTGGATACGAACTCCATGTTTAAAGAAACCAGATTTGACCCAGCAAATAAGGCAGTGTCGGGGGAGCTGCGGGGAAGCCCCAAACCCCTAGTTTTTCTGCAATGGCAGAGGCTACTGCTGAAGTCTCAGCTGGAGTTAAGATTGAGCCTCAGCCCAGCCCTCACAGTTGTGAGCTCTCAGGTCAGCCCACCTTCTCAGCGCAGGCCTACCAGGACACACTAGTAACCGCCACACCCTGCTGCTTGGCTCTCTTTGCAGTTTTAAACCATCTGGCCGGATGTCGTGGCCTCCCCCTCCGCCTCCCTATGTGTGTCTGCGTGTTTCTGCGAAGGCGACCTGGAGTCACATCCTGGAGCAGTGGCAGCGGCGGCGGCACCGGCGGCGGCGGGGAGTCTGGTTGGGTGGGCACAGATCGGGAGGGGGTGGTGTGCTTGCTAGCTGGGCAAGAAAGCAGCAGTGGACCTTTCCCCGGGCCACACGTGCCTGGTCAGGCTGGCTTCTGATGTTTAGTCCCCTGGGCTGGGACAGATTTTTTTTTTTTTAATGTCCTGAAACTTAAAACTCTGTGCTTGTAGGAGACCCTAACCTTTTTGTCTCTCTCTGTCTCTTTTTTTTTAAACCATCTCCACCTCCAGTGGCTGTGACTGGTCCCAGTGATTGTACCTTACTGGTCGCTGTGGGTCTAGGCGGGCCTGGAGCCAGAAGGCGACTTGTTTTTTTCTCCCTGTGTCACCCCAGGTGGGGAGAGAGGGAGGCCTCAGACTCCAGTCTCTCTCCCTTGCTCTCTTATCCCGAAGCCTCCTTGGGCCCAGGAGAGGGACCCTTTGCCAGTTCCTGGGCTTTGCCTGAAGATGATCACCCAGCACTGGTTGGGGACAAGGGCTGAATCCATGATTACCAGCCATGCCTAGGAGCTGGGGCCTTGCAGCTTGTCTGTCAGTGCAGTGCCTGTGCTGGAGGTGGAGAGGTGAGCCCTCCAGAGCTCCCAGCGGCTCTCCAGCCCACTCTGGCTCCTCTGCTCCCACGCGCGCTATCTCTCTTCTGAGTCTCGTGGATCCTCCCTCCCCTAATTAAAGTTTCTTCATGCCCCTTTGGGGCCGCATGAGGTCTGTGCTCTGTGTGTGTGAGAAGGGAGTCTGGGCTTCTTCATTCCCCCAGGTTGTGTGGCTCACTTTGGGGTCCAGCACTCTAGTAGAATGGTGATCCATCACACCGCCCCCATTGTACCTAATGCACCGTCCAGTCTGAAAATGTCTGCTTGTAACACAGCTTTGGTGCTATTCACATAGTGATGTCTGGGCCAGAAGGTAGCCTCAAAGATCCCATCTTGGATTGGGAAGGTACCTCAGTGGTAGAGTGCTTGCCTTGCATGCATGAGGCCCTGGTTCGATTCCTCAGCACCACAAACAGAAAAAGCTGAAGGTTGCCCTGTGGCTCAAGTGGTAGAGCACTAGCCTTGAGCTGAAGAGCTGAGGGACAGTGCCCAGGCCCAGAGTTCAGGCCCCACAATCGACAAAACAAAACAGAATGAAAGATCCCACCTTGAGGATAAAAAGGCTGAGGTTCCATGGGACATAGTAGTGGCTTACTGCAGTCTTCCAGCTTGGGAACAAGAGGGTAAAGTGGCCCGTGCTCAAAAACGAGTTACTTCCCACATTTTATTTCTTTGGTGTGAGTCCTGGGGCTTGAAATCAGGGCCTGGGCATTTGCCCTTAAGACTAGTGTCCTTCCACTTGAGCCACAGCACCACTTCTCCCTTTTTTGAGTAGTTTGTTGAAGAGTCTCACAGATTTTCCTACCCAGGCTGGCTTCAAACGGTGATTCTCAGATCTCAGCCTCCTAAATATCTAGGACAGACAGGAGCCATCAATACCTGGCTCAAGGTATTTGCTCAAGGGTAGCACTACCACAAACCAAGCACCACTTCCGGCTTCTTCTGTGTATGTGGTACTGAGGAATCAAACCTGGGGCTTCATGTATGCTAGGCAAGCACTCTAAGCCACATTCCCAGCCCCTGCCATAGTTTCTTAATCTATAAACTTGAAATTAATGTGAACTATGACAGTCCTTATCCCTCTATCTATACTGTTCAACTTCCCAATGTGATAAGTGTTAGTGGTGATAGGCACCAGTAAAAGTGAAGTGAGGTAAGTAAATAGGTACATTGAAGAGTTTTGTGTTTGCTGTCAGAAGTTTGCAGGCCAGGAGCAGAAGAGGTTTCTGGAATGGCTGGCTTGTGAGCTGAGTTTTCCAGCCAGCTGGCTCTTGTGAAGAAAACAAGGAAATGTTTAAGTGAGGAAGACCTGGGGTGGGGGGGGGCTTGAACAGCTATTGGCCCCTTTGTGACACTACCTCTGTGACCTCCTGCTGGGCTGAACTAGTTGCGCCCTCTGGTGCAAGTGGCTCTTATAGCTTTGCAAGGAATGTTGAAGGTGCTCTTGGCAAAGCTGGAGGACCCAAAGAAAATGACATCTAGTCACTCAGCTTTCTCAGGACAGCATCGTTTGGGTGAGCAACCTCAAAGCTTATCCTAGATTTATTGTCCAGCATCCTAAATCCCTAAAACCAGAGTTGCAGGCTGACGACAGCTTGGGTGCTCGCCAGTCTCAGTACCCTCCTGGGACATTCTCTTGGGAAGCCCAGTTCCCACCGGGTGGTGGGTAGGAAAGGTAATCTCAGATCAGCTGGACACATCATTCACCTTTTCTGTGTGTGTGTCCCTGTCCTGGGACTTGAATAGGCACTGCTAGAGTTTGCCTCCCAAACTGCTGGTGGTAGGTTTTGGGGTGACACAGGCAGACCTCCAAGTGATGGAATAGTGTTTGTGGAGCCCTGGCATTTGGAGCAGGCTGTTCTGAGATTTAAAGCCAAGTATTTAACTGCCTTAGATTTTTTTTTTTGAGTGTACTGGTCCTGGATATTGAACTCAGAGCCTGTCCTAACACTACCATTTGAGCCATAGCTCGCTCCACTTGTGGCTTTTTTTTTTTTTAATACTTGATTGGACATGAGTCATGGACTTTCCTGCCCAGGCTGGCTTTAGACAGAGATCCTCAGATCTCAGCCTCGTGCCTGAGGAGCCACCAAGGCCTGGCTTCTCTGATTTTTAAGGTTAATGCATGTCTTGGCCTAGGGGCCAGAGAGAATCATTCCAATATATTACATTTCTTCTGCAGTTGGCTTATGATTTATTTTTCCAGGTTTGGGGACAGGGGGCCTAAGTGCATGGCCTGAACGATCCTATCGCCATGCACGGGGGTCCCCACCTGATGCTTTGTCAGGCTTCACCACATCAGCTGCTTCGAGTGGACCACAGCTCACACCTGACCCCCCAGAATGCCAGTCCTCCTGCAGTGGCTCCTGACTCTTTTGCTTAAATGTTACAGGCCGAGAGGCTGTCTGATGGCTCATTTGCTTTCCTGCCCTTAGACTATTAGCTATTTTTATTTCGTAAGCCCCATCGGGTCAGCCCCTGCCCTTGCCGTGGGGCCCCCAGTGACCCAAGCCCCAGGGCCCTGCACACGGGAGCTGCTGACACTGGTGCCGACGGCCAGCCCTTAGTGCCCTGAGTGCCCAGCCGGTCAAGCCAGGCCCAGAGTCCGGCCCGCTGGACGTCCTCAAGCCCCGACCGCAGGGCCCTGGGCGGCCCCGGAGCCTCCAGTGGGGGGAGTGGTTTCCCAGGCGACAGCAAACAGAGGGCGGGGCGGGGCGGGGCGGGGCGGGGGCGCTGTGGGAGCCGG